TTCGAGACGAGACTGCGTATATATACCTATACACAGCTCCGAGAGTATAAGTGTACATTATAATACTTATGCGATGTCGCTCGCGAGCTATTTCGCCGCGCGCGGGATTATATTATATATAATATAACGTTGGCTGCTGCCTCTGTGCGAGAGAGACTCATTCCGCGTATTATCTATTTGTACAAGGTATTACGGACAGCGCGCGCCCGAGATTGCTTGTGTGTCACCTAGACTACTGCTGCTGCTGCTGCTTATATATAGCTCGTTTTCTCGCTAATGGCGAAAATATTAATTTTGACCCTTTCTCTGGCGTGCGGAGATGAGCGAGCGCGAACGAGAAAATTTTTACCAGCATCGAGTGGAAACAAAAAATAAAACGAAAAACAAAAGCTCGCAAGCGCTCTATCTGTGTCGTCTATAGTCGGTATAAGCAGAGAAAGAGAGAGCCTCTATCAATCATCGAAATCAATATGCAATTTAACCACGCGGCTCCGGCCATTTATCACCCTCTAGCGCGCGCGCGCTCGTTGTCATGCCGTATACGAGTTATATATATGTAACTAGTATGTTTCAAACGCGCTCCGCGCGTGTTAATTTTTTCACTCGTTTTTTGAGGTTATAAAGACTTTCAGGCGCGCTTCGCGCGCGTACATCTTTCAGTCAGTTTCGAAAAAGTTGCTATTTTGACCGTAGATGTCACTTTATTACGTTTCGACTCGAGTCAAAAGTCAGTCGACCAATCAGAGGCCGAATAGATTGGCTTCACTTTTAGGTCCATCTCTTTTTTATAAGTTAGATAATGAAAAGAAGAACACACGCGCAAAATGATATTCAATTTAACCCCTCGAAAAGGAGGTCTCGAATTTTCGAAAAGGGGGGAGAGAATAATAATCCGTCCGAATCGTAATATGTTTTCTACATATTATATAGCCCAAAAATATCCCAACACGTTTGTACGAGTCGATCGGGCGCGTTGCAATATATCGCGCGCGAGCAGCACAAAAGGGTTGAAAAGGCATAACGATAGTCATTACTCCGCCACGTACGTATATCGTGTGTCTTATAACGCCGTAATGCATAGAGACTTGGCGTGACTTTGATTCGCTCCTAGATAGACATTAATCGACTTTCTTGGCCGCGTGCGGCGCGGCCTACTGCTGCTGCTGCATATATACGCTGTATAGGTACGTGTAGGAACATTAAGACGCTCATCGATTTTCGCTCTCGCACACACGTACACGTACGTATAACAACAGTAGTCATGCAGGGCAATACGCTTGTTCGTGTATATATACGGCAAAGCGAAAAATAACAAAAAGCAGCAGCAGAGTATGTATTTTTATCGCATTCGTGTGCATGACGAAGGCGTACCCCTACCGCCGCGCGCGCGTGATTAATTTAATTTTCCATGCATCGCGCAACAACGATCGTTTCGATTGCTTTGATTTTCCTTTCGTTGCCACACACTGTACTTTCTGCAACATTTTGTCATTGAGGGCTGTAAAAATATATATCATTGTCTCACCGTACCAAGTGTCGCAAGCACACACCACCACGGCAACGGCGTGGAGCTTGCGAGTAACGGTATTTTGAATTTTCACAGCGGCCCCGAGGGGTTCGTTGTTTATCATTAAAAAAAAAAAAAAGAAAAAGAAAAAAAGGATATAGGATTTTTCTAAAGCTCGTGCATTGTATATCGATAAGGCTGCAGTCCTGGCCTTGCAAGCTCTGAACGAAGGAAAAATATTTCCTCCACTGCCTGCAGAGAGAGAGCTCGTCGATTCGGATTCTCTACTCTGCTCTCCTCTCTGCTCTCTGCGCTCGGGTTGTGATTTAATTTTCCTGTTTTGACCCGGAGATGAAAGCGAGCTCGTGTCATCACGGGCGAGGACTCGTCGCAGAGCAGAGCAGGCAGGCAGGCAGGCAGGACACAATAATTGTCTGCGCGCGCGCGGAGCTGTAATATCGCGCGTAGCTCGGCCCAGAGCTTTTCTGTGTATACCTACCTATACGCTCGCGCGCGCGCGGGACAACTTCCTGCTCTTTGTGTGTCCTGCAAGCCGGGCTATAGCTCGCTCGTATCGTTTTCATTTTTTGCTCGCGCCGTTATATACCGTATAAAGTCGACTCTTCTCGGGGCGCTCTTTTATATTATATTATATTATATATGAAATCCGCGACGTCGACGTCGACGTGCTGTACAGGATGTATATACACCCAAAGCTGTATGCGCGATGCACGCGGTGAATCGCGTGGACTAGACGCGCGTGTATGCAGATCGAGCTGGCTTCTCCAGTGTGCATATCCAGCAGAGTGTGAGCTCGCGATAATGTTAATTTTCGCGCTCGCTTAAATGCCTCCCCGCCGAAGCGAAGCGAAGCAGGATGAGGACGAGGCGTAGGAGGCAGCCCGCAAGATAAGCCTCGCAAGTCGGCACGTATACGCATATAATATACAGAACACATATGTGCGCTGTTATATAACGCTGCGGTTTCCTTGCGCTACGTTGTATTATACATATAACACAGAGAGTGGCAGCAGCAATTAAACGGCCACGACTACGACGACGACTACGACGCGATGACGAGGCAATGACGATGCACCAACTACCTATAACTAAACCAAACGCTCGAAAGCCGAGTAGCAGATTTCGTGGGCCGATCGTTCGATTAAAACTTGTTGCTCGTCGTGTATATTATAACGTGTGTGTGTGTGTGTGTGTGTATACTTGCGCTATAATATATATCGAGCGACTCGATCCCTGCCCTGCTTGTGTGTCGTCATGCCTTAGCAGCAGCAGCAGCAGATGCGAACCGATTCCGGCGGACGACGGCAAAGTTTGCGAGTCAATGGTCGTGTGCCGATTAAAATTCTCCGCTCGTCGTCGCCGTCGTCGAGGTACACGACGGGGGTATAGTCAATTTTATGCAAAGCTCGGCGTCGAAAATCTATATAACACAGCAGCAGCAGCAGCAGCATAGTTATATATATATGATAAAATCGATAAATCAGGCACTGCTGTTAGTCGCCGATTCGATCGGTCAGAGGGGTTCTCCAACTACTATACGAGCGAGGTAAAAAGCCATATCAGCGCGCTGCGAGCCGAGCGTAGTAGTAGTAGGCGAACTTCGAGAGGCTAATGCGCGCCTCGGTAACAAGCTGCACGAAGGACAGATAAATTTTCATCTTTTCCTCCTCTTATACGTCGCTCTGGCTAGCTCGCTCGGCGTATACATATTACATACGCGATGCACGCGCGCCTCGTCGTGTGTATACGACGTAATCCAAGCCTCTCTGCTTCTTCTCTCTACTCGTATGTACTAAAAAAAAAATAAACAACAACGTACAAAAAGAAAAACAAAAAAGAAAAGAGTTTACGTGTGTATAAAGGTGAAAGAATCTGCACTCGTGTACGCATACACTTGCTCAGAGCTAAATGAAATACGCGCCGTGCAGCGCACAGCACACAGCACGCGCGAGATGCTTTTATTTTTTTAAGCGGCTACTTAATGATACGCATTTTGTATGTATACGAGCTGCTCTACGTACAGCTTGTGTGTGTATATATAGTTTCTGACGACGTTAAAATTCACGAGACGACGCGCGCTCGAAAGTGTCAGGCTCTAGGCAGGCAGGCAGGTAGACGGACTTTTCACTGAAAATGCCGTCGAGAGAGAGGAAGACTCTCTTATACTTTGCATCGATACTGTCTCTCGCTCCTCTCTTCGTCGTCGTCGTCGTCGTCGTCTCTGTGTACAATACTCGTGCCTGCAGCGAATATATTGACACATGGAAGCGCATAGGCGCAGATAGAGAGACAGAGAGAGAGAGAGAGACAGACTCTCGTCGACGATGAGATAGTGTCATTCCGCAAGCTACCTCGAGTCGAGTTAAGTAATAATAATAATAAAGTTCCCGCATTGCCTCTACGCGAGAAGGAGGCGCGAGACTTTTCAACTTCTTCTTTCGGAGGTAGTATAGCTTATCAAAGAGGAAATGTACAGCAATACGCTGTATATACCTTCGATGATATATATATATAGAGAGAGAGAGGCGCGTATACGAATCGATCGGGTTTTATAGGATGTTTAGAGAAAAACACGCGAAGAACATGTTGCTGTTGCCGCTACTACTGCGTATCATCGGGGACGTATCGTCTGTCGGATATTATTGATTGGTTGGTGTGTATATATAAAAAAAAGGAGAGAGAGAGAAACTCCGAAGTACGATATCCATGGATGCTTCTTACATATTACACATTTTAATACTGGGATAGTAGTTTTATTATTGGGATCGTCATCCCCGATTGGAGTCGTGCAACAGGAACGGTTGACTTCTCGAGCTTTTTTTGACGGCTGGACACGATACACGTGCTTACGTATCACCTATAAAATACTCTACACGAAACAAGGGTATAGTATGTTCGGAGCGAGGAACGTTCGCTGCCGAACCGACACCGCAGTTCTTCCCCTTTCTCTCTCTTGTATAGCCGGTCTTGCGCGAATTTCGATAAAAAATATATGCCCTTGACGCCCGGGAGTCTCCATCCCCCTTCGAAATAAGATTTTTCTCTCCCCTTCCTTTCTCTCTCTCTCTTCGAGCTTGAATATTATACCTGATTTTCGTTCGATCCCACATAATATTTCCCCCGGTGCGCTTGCACTCAAAAGCGTACGCGTGGGTGCGTGTCGCGTGCTCATAAGACAGTACGTAACATTACGAAATATAAGATCGTAAGGAAGCTTTCACCGCGCGGGCATACACAACATGGTCGGCGCGATGCAGCTGTGTCATGTACCGCGTGTACCACCGCTGATTATACACAGTCATGTAATGTACGCAGTCGTGGACACACCTGCGCGCGGGGGGGTCACCAGCGACGAACGATTTTTTTTTTTCGCGAATCCGAAATCTGCAACGAATTCGTCGATGATGAGCACGAGCTCCGAACTTTCCCGAGTAACGTCAGTAACTTCGCCGCGTGCGCGCATGCATCGCGCAAGGAAGGAAGCCTCTATAGTCTCTACAGGCAGGAACAGGAGGGCGAGTTTGCGAAACCTTCGCTGAGATGTCGCTAGCTGTACTACGCGAAAACCGTGTGCGCGCGGACTACCACTACCACTACTACATCGGAGAACTTTTCTCGCTGCACTCGTATAGCGTTGTGTGCATGTGCAATACATGTACATATACTAGCGGTGCATTATGTAGGCATACACATCTCTCTCTCTCTCTCTCTCTTTCGCTCTGTACTTGGTAATATAGCTCTCGTGCAGCAGACTCGCCATGTACATACATATAATGCGTGCTCTACGGCCTGTCAGAGAGAGACCATATACACACAAGCGGCCCGATTCGACGTTGTGTGCGTTCGTATATACGTGTGGAACGTCGGCTGTGCGCTGTGCGCGTTCTCCCCCCCTTCTCTCTCTACATAGCACAGAGTCTGCTGGAGCATGAACTGCTCCCTTTGTCTCTCTCTCTCTCTCTCTCCCTCGACCCTCGCGAGTTTGCCGGGCGGCTTATATATACCGCATATACCATACTATAGCGCACATATACACACATTTCGCGTCGTACAGCTGCTCTCGCAGGCTGAGGCAGGCTGCTGCGAGCGTGTGCCTTGTGCTTCGGTTCTGCGCGCGCACCAGCGGCAGCACCAATACACAGCAGCGGCTTGGCGTACACATATAGTTCGCCGCGCAGTAGAGAGAGCGCGAGCGAGCGAATATATAGGCAGCAGCGGCGAGCGAGAACGAGAGAAAGAGAGAGAGACAGAGCGCGCGAGGCAAGCAGTTGTGAGCGGTTGCCCGACACTAAAGCAACTCTCCTCCTGTATTATATATATAAAACCCGAAACGTTACTGTGTATATACCCAGTGTTGATATATAAACGCGGCGCGCCGTGCACAGTACACACGCATACGTACCCTGTATAAACGCGGATATATAATACAACAACGCGAACGAACGCCGCAGTCGCCGCGCGAGTTTTCTCAGTGCAGGCACACCGTACTCGGTAGTAGATAGCCGCAGAGTTGCACGTTTTCGTAATACACATCCGTGTGTAGCTGTAAAAAAATAACAATAAAGTGGTAACGTGTACCCTTTCCCCGCAAAATATATAATAATAATTGAAAAAGAGAACGAGGACCAAGAGACTCACCCAAAGTGCCAAATAATAATAATAATAATAATCGATAATAATCGAGCGACGACGCGAGATATACGAGATCTTCGAATCCTGTGTAAGTTTCGTCGATATATTCCTCTGTCTCGACGACGTTTTTCGCATTACATTTTATACAGTGCATGTCTACATATCTCTGTGAGTGTGTGTGTGTGTGTGCGCGCAAACCATCGAAAGCGTGGTTCGGCAGTGCAGTTACTACTACTACGCACTCGTACGAAGCTTTTTTTGTTGCTAATAAAGCATATATAGTGTCTATATAGAGCGAAGCGTGCGCCCGAGACGCCGAGAGAAGTGAAATTTAATCCAGTAAGCGCGTCGAAGGATAAGCTGTCTGTCTGCGTGCGTTTCGTCGTTGTTGTTACGAATACGCACCGCTGCCCTGCACTCGTACATTCAACGTATATAAAACAAGAAGAACCAGGAGACGTCTCGAGCCGGCTTCTTGTACTACTCCGTTCTTCCTCTCTGCCTCCGTGTCTCTGTCTGTCTGTGTGTGTTGTCCTCTCCGCTGCCTTCTTCGCAGTACACACACACACACAAACACACATATAAGAAGTATTAAAGCTGCAGTGCAGCTACATCAGGGATCGCGTTTCGCGCGAGAGAGAGAAGCCGCCAGAGCCAACACAGCCGCATTTATAGCCGCGGCAAAGCGGAGCAGAGCAGCAGCAGCAGCAGCAGCGCGTCTCTTTTTTTGCGTACATATAATACGCGCGGCGCACTCGTCGTCGTCGTCGTCGTATAGTATATAGAGAATCCTCGGCCCAGCAGCAGCAGCAGCAACAACCACTTGTGTGTACATCTCTGCCGTTGCCGCAGTTCGCCTGCGTGCGCGTCTACTACTACTCTCTGTGCCTTCAGTGATATATATATATATATATATAAAGTGGTTCGTGCGTATGTGTGAGGAATATATATATACCGACACACACGTTCTGAAACGACTCGCCGGTTTTCTTTGTGCATGTGTGCAGTGTGTTGTATCTGTGTGAGTGATCATCCTTGAATTCGACGAGCGAGAGAGAGAGAAGCGAGCGAGCGAGCGAGCGAGCCAACCCTCTCTGCGTGCCGCATACGTAAATCAAACACACGACTGTATAACAAAAAAAAAAATCGCACCCGAATATCCGGCTTCCAAGCACGACCAACGGGTTTGTACCAATTTTTTTGTTTGTTATTTTTTAACGTTTTTTTTTCATTTTGTTTCTTCTATTCTTTACGATTACTGTCCTCTCGATCTCATTCATTGTTCATCTGTATATATTGTTTAACTAAAAAAAAAAAAAAAATTGAAGTAAATTGATAAACACAACTACTCGCACACGGACACACATCGTACACATTAACACGTAATTACAAATATGTATATAGACGTTCGAGTATGTATTTTAATTAATTTGTTGTGTGTTGTATATAAAGTTGCTGTAGTACATTGCGTAGGCCCGCAAGGCGCGGGGAATTATCGGGGAGTCTTTGGCGTTTTGTTGTCGATGATGCTTTTGGTAGTATAATAACGATTTGCTCCTCTATTTATACACATACATACATGCTGCACTGTTTTTGTACCTATATATACGTTTGTGCGCTGCTTCATACCTTCTACATATCCTACCTACCTACCTCACTACCTACCATGCATGTTATGTGTGCATATATCTGGTCCTGTCTGCATGTATACACATAGCAGTCGGTTCGTTCCATAATCGATAAGTCTCTCTCTCTCTCTCATTTCTCCTGTGCAACTGTGTGTGCATTATATACGATACCGAAACGTATACGTGTGTGTATCGCGTATTTATACACGCACATGCACGCAAACGAATATACAGACAACACTTGTCTCTCTGACATGACGTGCGGAATTACGATAGCGAGTTTTCGTACTTGTATAACTCCTTGCTTCAACTATCGAGCACGAGGCTCTCTTTTTTTATTTGACTCGCAGCACATTTTGTTTCCGAGGAGAGACCGAGGAACCAACTGCACATCAGTACATTGAAACCGCACACCTATATAGATACGAAATAGTTGAAAAACGAAGCTGTTGCACGTGTGTATCCTCTCTCACTCTCATCCGCCTTGGCACATAAGCTCTCTTTCCCCAATGATGCCTCTTTTTCTTCTTCTTTTTCTACTTCTCTAGCTGCTCTCCCACACACAACCATACAGAGTCGGTCGTCTCCACTTTCTTTTCCTCTCTGCGGCAACTTTATAATCCTGATTTTTTTTTTCTTCTCTTCTTCTTCTTCTTAAAAACTGAGTATAAGGAGAGAGAACCTCGAGGCGCACATCCACAGCAGCAGGCGGCACACACAGCCGCAGCAGCAGCAGCAACTCTCTGGCCTCCCCCGCTTTTGCCCAAGCATCTTTTTCTCTCTCTCATTTTTTCGTGTCTTTTTCTCGCTCTCGCTCCCTCTTTCTTTCTCTCTGCCTCTGCCGCTGCTATAGCTGCATGGGCTTTGTTCGTGCAGCCGACGCCGCGCAACTACTACGAGAGAGAGGCAGAGAGTATATATACTCTTTCATATCGCACGAGTGGGTATAAGCCAGAGAAAGAGTGAGAGACAGACAGACGGAGGACTGGAAACACAAGCCTGCTTGCCTGATACACGAGTCCACGTATATGTGCGTGTGTCCTATGTGTGTGTGTGAGTGCCGCTAAAGGTTTCGCACGTGAGCGAGAGCAAGACGGCAAGTTTTATACACACAATATTGCTCGCGTTTCTCGCACACACATGTGTTTTTTCGCACACGGCACTGGCTAGTCCTTTTTTTTTCTGCTGCTTGCTCTGCGCGCCAATGTGCGCGCTGCTGCTCCGGCCATGCCATGGGTTGTGCTGCTGCTGCGCATGATGCATGCATGCAACGGCCGTATATACCGAAATCGAAAGGAGCCAGCAGCGGCAGTTTGCGCGCGCTTTGTTTTCCTCGCGGCACAAAGCACAAGCAGCATATTTCACTTCTCACCCGCTCTCGAAAACTTGCCTCACATGCATCCTTAACTATATATATTATCTATTATACCCGCTCCATTTTCCACGCCAAACCATAGCAATGTAATAAGTTTATAATAATACACGCATGTTCTCTGGCTAATTTTATTGCATTAAAAAACCATTGCAACAACAACAACGCACATACATACATACATACACACGCACGATACAACAACAACAACAACAACATTAATTACGCGGCAGAATTCATTTAACCCATTTTTTTTTCTCCTTCCATCTAACATTTAATTATAAAAAAAAAAAAAAAAGAAAAATATATTTCGAGTATTCTGAGTTTACTATGAGCCTCTTGTTTTCTCTTGACAATTGCTGGTGTTCAGTGTTGGCTCTAGCTGATGTTTTGGGCTTGGTTACCGCAGTGTGTGCATCTTCTTCTTCTATCCTCTTATAAAAACCCACAACACCTATTCATCGACGCTACCATCACCACCACAACTACTACTACTACTACACCGGGGCGAGAGAATCCAGAAGTGGCAATACAGAGATAACCGATTCGCCTAAATTTATTCGCGGGGCGCTCACGAGGAAGAGATCGGACTAGCAGCAGCAGCAGAGGCAAATCGTCGCATCGCACAAGCCGTCGTCGTCGTCCGTTGATCAAACGGCGACGATCGCACAGCTTAAACACACCGGCGCCAAGACGACGACCACAACGACCTTGGCCGATTCCACCACCACCACGTCCATCAATACGACGAGGATGTTTCCGTACACGACGTTTCCCGCAGTCGGGTAAGAGAACCAAAAAAAAAAAAAAAACACGCAACCCATCATTTAAAAAAAAAAAAAGCCAAAAAAGAACTGTCATGCTCTTCTGTATAATCCTCCACCCACCTGCATTACAACAAAGATATTTTCTCTCACATTTGTGACTGTATTTTACTACTATAATTCTGTACTCGTGTGGAACGCGAGTCGATAAGGATGTAGGCAGACGACGATCGAGAGAGGCTTGACCGAGAAACATGTGTACGCTAAAGCTTTAAATGTATTGTCCGCAAATAAAGCTACTTCTTTTTTTTTGACAACTGTAATACTTATCGAGATTATCGAAAAACTTGTGGTACACTTCTCGACGCCACCACCACCATCATCCACCTCTCGTCGTCGTCGTCGCTTAATCCTTATCGACGAGCTACTTAGAATTTGTAGCACGCCTTGACACTCGTCTACTTAGAATTCAATCACATTAGAGCAGACACAGACGCAGAGAGTCGGGCCCTGTAATAGTGATGATCATTACATTACATTACAGGAAGAAAAAAAAAGCAGAAGAAACGAGTACCGACTCTCAACGCGTGTTGGTATGCGTAATGTGGTCGAATGTAAACGACTTGTTGCTTGAGTTTTAATATATGAATTTCAACGGGTCGCCCATCTCTATACTTAACACGTATCATATGATTTAATATATATATCTCTCGATACTTGCATTACTTTACATTTATATCTCTTACTCGTGTATTTATTATTTATACTCTTTGTTATTGGTTTTGGCCGTTGCTCGTCCGTAGTTGGTTTTTTTTTATATCTACATAGAATTAATTTTTCATCATTATTGGCTCTTTTATCGACTACATTGCATAAATACGATATTAGAAAAATTGTAGCATATATATTATATTATTATTATTATAGTGTGTTTTTAATAAACTTATCAATAACACGGGGAGCTATATTGTGTTTTTGAACTCTATACTTACTATCGTGAGTTCTTTGCATTACAAGCGGGGCGGGCGCGCAGTTTCCCGAGGATAGTCCATGCATACACATGACTGCAGCGAGACCGGCGAACTTGGGCGAGTCGGAGAGAGAGAGAGAGTTTTATAATATTTACGTAGGAATTTACTCAATCAACAATTTCTCTCTCTGTCTCGCTCGCTCTCTTGCTCTAGCCTCTGTTTGTTCGCTCGCTGATGTATCGACTTTCCTGGGGTAATTACATGCCGTCTTTCGCTGTGTAAGAGGAAAAGCAAAACTCGATCTATTAGTTTTTATATAAACATTTTCATTGGTTAGTTGAAACTTTTTTTCTCTTAGCTTTTATTGTTCTTGAACAGTGTGTAAGATATTTCTATAATTTTACGTAATACATATTTCATTGATCGCTCGACTCGTTACTGTGGTTTATTTGTATGAAATTGAATAACATATAATATATAGACGAGCGAGATAGCCAGCGCTCATTATTTACCCCGTAAATATCGTTGTAAAACTAATTTATTTTTTATTTATTTCATTCTGCCTGAATTATATATAAAACGCCTATACCTTACCAACGTATTAATGCATCGTTTGTGATTAATTTATTATTACGTTGAAAACTATATCTTCAGTGTCTCTCTTGTCGCATCGAATATTTAGAATTCGCGCGCGCTGCTGCGTGGGTATATACAGTAGTAGAGAAGAGGATCTGCGTGGATGACTTTGAGCTCGAAAGTAACAGCGAGGTGCTTATATTATATATACGTACTTTACACACGCTGTGGTGGTCCGCGCGCGCGCATAATCATCATCGACGCAGATCCGTCGTCCCGTAATACTTAACTGGAATGCATAATTCGATTATCCATTTATTTTTCATTAGCTAATATCGCACGTGGAGAGCGTCGGGAGGGTCACTACTCTGCCATAGTTAGCTAGCTTATATATGTGAAACTAATTATTTGTTTGATCAAGGGGTTATTATGCAGTTATCGTAGATGTGCATGCCTGTGCCGCCACCAGCAGCAAACTCTCTAAAACGTCGATTTACTCTCGAAATAACGCGCTATCATCGCCCTGTGTATCAGAAGACATTTTCCTCTGTATCGTGGCATTAAACATAACTGTACGTTTCGTTCGTCTCTCTACGACTTTATTTTCTACCAATTTTTTTTTCTTACGCTTCCTTGATCATGAAAAAAAAAAAAAAAGAAAAAATACACCGTGGGCTCGATCATCATCGAACTGTCGCTCGAAAATATCAGTCCCGCTGATTTTCCGGACAGCTAGGTCACACGATCGAAAATACGTTCGCTTTTGCAACTTTCGATTGGGGGCAAAAGTTTCGATTCGCCATTGTTGTTGTTACTGATAAACCATAGGAGAAAATAAATTCAAAGTAGCGCGTGCCGAATTATTCCCGATTCGTCTTAGTCACTCATTTAACTTTCTCTCGCTTGTGTCGGTGTTTTTAACCGAGACAAATAAAGCGTGTTAACTAGATGTTGTACACGGCAATAAAGAATCCCGAAAAATGATCATTTCAACAAGATTCTTTGGCCACATAAGTATATACACACCCAAACCTCGTTTGATCGTAATTTATTCGTAATATATTTTCTCGTCTGCATATCCACTTGACGACTCGTGTGTCTCTCGCATATTTTTGATTCGTGATGCGTATCAAATGTTTACCAACAACACGGAGCGGCGGCGGCGTATTATCTCTCTCGTGAAGCATGGCTTAATTTTAAACCGAACTCTCGGCGCGTCTTAATTTGCTGTATCAGCCTTAGAGGCTGTGTATACACACACATTACTTTCTCCTCTCTCGGCAGTAGCCGTTGCTTGACAGAAGGCTCATTGATAGCCGGAAACCAGTGTAAAAATTAAAAGGCCATTCTCTGTATATAGTATAGTGCTTATCAGGAGTTGCTTTTTTTTATGTCACTGCTGCTACTACAGAAACCGGAATCACGGATATCGAAGCGAAAGAAATCGATTCACTCCGTATATATACAGCCGAGCGGAGCTTAGTAGAGGAGTATAAATTAATCGCTCTCGTCGTGGATGTTAATGAAATCGTCGAATTAAATTGTTATTTCATTATGTACCCCCGATGCGCAGAGAGTGCAAGTTACGATCGGGAGAGAGAGAATCATTGGTTTCGACAATGACGCACGGCGCGTAGTATGGCTGCAGCAGCATTCAGTGCACAATTGGAAAATTAATAATCAATGCCGTAATATTCTCCTCGCTTTGCTCGCTCGTGTATATACATTCGACCTGGACGTGCAAAATTTCTTCGTCGAGCGATTTGGAAAAGTCGATTTGGACCGTTTGTGCGAGATGAATAAAAAATAAGAATCCGAGAGCACGTCTATACCCATACGGCAGGAAGAATATTTGGTCGAAGGTTTTCGAGCGTTCTCGTGCAGCAGCTTATAGGACCCTGACAATGGGCATACTCCTGCCTCTACACTTGATACACACACACACACTCACACACGAGCGTATGTATAGCGTAGGTATACGTATGATCGAAGGGGAAAATTCTCGAAAGGCAATTCGCGCGCGAGAGAGAGAGAGAGAGAGCAAAAGCGAGCGAGAACGAAGGATATGGCGGTGTTGCCACGGGCAACAACGCGCTCCACTATATAGCCATAGCGAACAAAGAAAGACAGAGCCAAGAGAGAAGAGAGAGAGAGAGAGAGAGAGAGAGAGAAACCCCGTGCATGCACAGCGCGGCACGGGTATACTATATATATATATTGAAACGACGACGCGCAGATGGCTACAAGAACACGAGAGAGCGATTGCCGGAGCTAGCGAGGCGAGGCGAGGGACAACGAAACTTTAAACGCGCGCGGCGAGGCGCGCACACACACCAACAACAACAACACTCTGTACTTACTTTACTTTGCTGCTGCTGTTGCTCGCCGCGCGGAGAAAGAGAAAAGCGTGTGTTTTTGTGCCGCGCGGTGGCCTTTCCGCAAGCGCAAATGTCAATTTACGAAAAACTGCAGCAGGCAGAGCCGAGTTGGGAGTCGATCGACGACTCGCGTGCGTCGATGTATGCGTGTGTGCGTGCTGTATACAGCCTTGACGCGGAAGAAAGCGGAGTCGCGCCGAGTGCATCGTCGTACACGCATGATGCAGGACACCCACGCGCGTATATTATTATTATAAACGCATTTGAATGGCGTTGCTGCGGTACACGGCGCTGCCTTTAAGCTCGATCCTCGTGCTTATATATTATATGCCATATTCGCGCACGCCGCGACGAGTGAGAAAACATGGTATATGTGGAGGAAGAATAAATGAGAGAGAGTTCGAAGAACTGCGAGGCCGCACGTGCTTCCTCCGCCGTCGCGCAGAAAATATAGATATATGTATTTATATACACACACACACACACTCGCTCACTGACTCACATACATATGAGTCTGTGTTTATACTGTATATATATGTGTGTGTATACGCGCAGGCCGGCAGACAGATGAGGAGGAAAGAGTATATACATATAAGAGTCAGTGCCGCCACTGCGGCATGCTTCTCGGCTGCTCCATGCCGTATTTGATACTTAAACGCATACACCAGCCTCTGCAGCTTCTCGTTGTTGCCGCTGCTGCTGCTGCTGTGTGTGCGTCTTCACTGTCAAGTGGAATAAGAGCATTTGCTTGCCGCGCGCGATTATCAAGGTCGCAGCAGCAGCAGTAGACGTATATAAACTCCAGTCGAAGTTGACGACAAAGACGACTAGCCCCTGATATAAACTCGTCTTATTTGCCGCGTGCATCCGTGATCTCTTTCGCACGCGCACGCAGACGAACAATTAAACCTGCTGTGTACATAAAGACAGCAAAGTAAAAAAAAAAAAAAAAGAGTAATCGATCGGAGAGGTTGTTGTCGATCGACGAGCGCAAAAATAAAGCGCGAGAGGAGACAGAGAGCAAAGACTTATTATTATATACTTTTTTGACCTACTTTCGATCTGCGATGCTCATTATGTGTGTGTGTGTGTCTCT